GTGGGCTTCTTGATCATGATGGAGATCCCCAGAGACATGAAGGGTTTGGTGAAGTCGATCACCTGCTCTCGGACCAGAGTGATGGTTAGCGGAGCGACGGCCATGTCGGCCTTCTGCGGGAGGACAGAGAGATGAGCGGTCACTCAGYGCGGGGGGGTCCCTGTCTCACGAGACCCTCCGAGCGGCGGTCCAACTCACCCCGTACACCAGCTCCCCCACCATCCCGTTCCACCTCTTGGACTCCAGATCCCGGGCGCCGTACTTGCCGTCGCTCACCAGCTCCAGCTGGTAGGCGAAGCCGACGTGTTTGGCGATCTCGGAGGCGAGTTCTGCGCAGTAACCTTCAAACCTATCGTTTCCCTTCAGCTGGACGTGGTTCTTCTTCAGCATCATGTACGGAGCTTCCTGTTGGARCACAGACAGGTGTCCAGTTAGCCTGACCTGTCCTGAGTTGGACAGTGTCCCAGGTGTCCTGCAGTTCTTACCAGGATGGTTGTGACGATGTAAGTTCTGTTCTGCAGACCAAAGAACTCCTCCTGCAGGGGTCTGTAGACCGCTGTGTTCACGTAGCCTCTCTTCTGATTCCAGTAACCGATCTGGACACAGAGAAGCACCATTGCATTGAAGATGGGAGCGGAGCTAGACCTTTTACAAGGCGTGGCTAGGGTGCTTTTTAACAGGAGTAATGACTCTGGATTTGAAAATTCAACACGACCACTACAGCTAAATTCAAATACCTGTAGATTTTAGCTGTTTAAAAAACACTCAGCTGAAACTTTGTGGTTTTTGTGCCGATTGCTAATCCCAGTTTAAGCTAACTGCTAATGCTAACACATTTTACAAATGGCTATGACAGCCATGTTTAGAAACACTGAGCTGAAATTTGGTGTCTGGCTAACCAAGAGCAATCCCCATGATATTTTGAAAGCTAATCTCAATCTTAAGCTAAGAGCTAATGCTAATTTGGGGAATAGATATATTTCAACCAATTTTAGACACATAAAGCTGAAAATTGGCATAATAGTAGCCGACAATAATCTTCAACTTAAGATGGTAACCTAAGCTGAAAATGAAAAAATATATATATAAATCAGACATTTTTAGAGATATTAAGCTGAAATTTAGTGATGCCCAACACATTCTGAATTTTAAAAAAAATCCAAGATGGCCACCACTAAATATGGTTTTCATAGACTCCACACAGATATGTTCCCTCTATACCAGATAAAACAGCTGCATGACAAATATTTACTCATTTAAATTATTTGGGGGGACGTCCGGGATGGCCAGTCTCGTAGCAGGAGTGGCACTTGCCCCCCTGGCCACCCCCCGGCTCTGCTCCTGRCTGTAGAGCAGTTTAAATGTTTGTTTTGTTCAAACTGAGCCACAAACTGCAGTGAGAGCTGCTGGTTTTGTTTCAGTCCCTGGTTTCTCTTGTCTGGTTTTACTGAGTCTGCTTCAGACGTTGGWTATTTGAGCTCCAAACGAGGATGTCTCAGTGTGTGGCTCTGTGCTGTTCAACAGAAAGCTGAGAGTCTGCAGGTTTACACTCGGAGCAAACGCTGATTTTACTGATTCTGCCAGCTTTAATCAGGGTAGAGGGAGATAATTACTGGAAGGAGCTGACGGAGCCCAAACCTGCTGACTCTGGCCTGCACCAGAGTTCTGTTAGAAATCTGATCATTTCTGCACCTTCCTGTGTCCGAGGTGGCTGAGCTCCATCACCGTCAGCGTGTAGTTGGTCCGGTGACCCCGCTCATCAAACTGGATGTGACCCGTCAGACCCTGGAGGCGAACCTGCAGGTACAGARTCCAGCACACACCTGTCTGGTTAAATAAAGCTTCCCTGGTTTAGTCTGATGCTGAGAAAATACTTTGTTCTGAAAATCAGGACTAAACTGGTTGTTTTAGTGTGGGCCCACCTGCTGCAGGGCTCTCTGGATGTCGATGCCCTGCCCCCACGGAGCCGGCGGGTTGGCCAGACACTCCCCGGCGTTGCCCCGGCGAGAGATGTCGATGCGTTGCAGCCGCAGGTTCTGGAAGGCCTTGGCCATGACGTTGACGCCGTCGTAGGTCAGAGCTCCTGTGTACTGAGGAGAAACAGGCCGGGTCAACGCACAAGAAAGGATTCAGCATCATTACTGACGCACAACTGTGTGTTTGCTGCAGGGCATTCTGGGTAAACATCTGGGGGTCCGCACCTTGATCCTCTTGCGGGCCAGTTTCAGGTCCTTGCTGTCGAAGTCCATCCAGTCCTGGTTTATCTTCATCACAGCCGGGTCGGACTGGTTGACCAGCTGGAAGCCCGTCACGTTCGGCGCCAGCTCCTGGAACTCTGTGAGGTTCAGGTCCAGGAACCCCTGAAGGACCAGAACATTTACACACATTCAGTGTTCCTGCATCACAACAACAGAAACACAAATCTACACTAAATCTAAATCTAAAATAAATTAAAATCTAAAACTAAATCGAAATATAAACTAAACTTAAATCTAAATCCTAACTAAATCTAAACCTAAACTTAAATCTAAATCTTAACTAAATCTAAACCTAAACTTAAATCTGAACTAAATCTAAATCTAAAACTAAATCTATACTTAAAACTAAATCTAAACTTACATCTAAACGATATTTAAACTAAACCTAAACTAAACCTAAACTTACATCTAAACGATATTTAAACTAAACCTAAACTAAGCCTAAACTTACATCTAAACTAAATCAACATCTAAACTAAAACTAAACCTACATCTAAAGTGAACCTAAACTAAATCTAAACTGACTTTTTAAAAATATTCCCTGCTGAAAGACAAAGATTTGAGGTGTGTTAGAAAGGACTCTCAGCTACTACCACTCCATTGGTTATAACCACTTTAGAGTCTAGTTTATCACAGACCTGTGAGCACTGGTTCATGAGATATTTTGCTAACAGAGGAGTTTTGCAGGTCCTGACTCACCAGGTTGGCCAGGATGTAATGATAGTTCTTCAGATTTCTCTTGGTGTTCCTCTTCTGAGCAGCGATCTGAGCAGAAACAGAAAGTCAGAGCAGGAGCGATGTTTCTGATGAAGATGAATAACATCCATCTTCATCACATCATCTCTGTGTGTGTGTGTGTGTGTGTGTGTGTGTGTGTGTGTGTGTGTGTGTGTGTGT